CTATTTCACTGACAGTCAATTTGCTAACAAGTTTATTTTACCAACAGTTATTTCACTGACAGTCATTTTATTAACAAAGTAATCCTGATCATTTTTGTTAGAATCAATTGGAATTAGAGTTAATTTTAGAGCAACTTTAAAAAAAACCTAGTTGGTAAAATAAACTTGTCAGTGAATTTATTATTAGTAAAATAAAATATTGGCAAATTGATTTTCAATAAAATAACACATACCCACTCTTTACATCTAAGCAAATGAACTGATGTTTTTTGATCTATACAATACACTTTATATTTGTTTAACTTATATAAGTCTAATGCTTTCTTCTTCAGTATATCAATAATTAGTAAACTATTACTTATATATTTAATTCCAAATAAAATCTTTTTGCTCTCTTCTAGTGATTTATATTTAATTTCTGTTAAGCTTCTGTTTTCTTTTCAAAATATTATTCAATTCTTTTACATTTCAGAGTTTGGCTTAAGCTCTTTAATTACATTTGAGCATTACTACTCAGCACTATTTATTATGTTTGTTAGTATCTTAACAAACTTCTTGTAAGTACTTTTATATCTGACTCATTTCAGTATAATGCATATAAGAACTAACAATTTTTTTTAAGCTTCAAATCTGAGCATTCATTTAGAAGTATAACCTTCTTCACAAGTTTGTTAGCTTTTTTATTCTATATTATTCTACTATGTGCTTTAACCTTAATTAATACTAACTCGATATTCTTTGACTTGTATATATCTTTGATCTTTATTACCAATCTAAAATTTTTGCTTTTGCTTTATACTCTAATATTGCACAAGAGTTTTTCTCTTTTTAGACTTGTGATTATTGCAGCACTATCTAACTTAATCACTATTTTACTATTACAAGCTATAACTAAATTATTATTAATACTGCAGCTAGCCCTGCTTTTGTTAATAATAATTATTTTTTTAATCTAATTTTCTTTTTATTATAATTTTACTTTTATTTTTACTGATCTGCATCCAACTTGCATCTATTCTATATATTTTTTTCCTTACTAATGACCCATCTGTATAAAACTTGAACTCTATTTCTTTTATATTATGTTTTTTTCTAACTGTTCTATCAATAAATTTTCTAAACTATAATTAAATCTTTGTATCTTTATTAAATAATTTTATGTGTATAAACTATTATCTTTTTATCTATAACTTTTTTATTGTTCTTAATATCTTTTTTTGCATAATTCTTCTTGTAGCTTTTAGTTTTTCAAACAAAACTAGAACCTTCTTTTTATACATTTGTCTTATTTTTGGTAATACATCTACTATTGCATTCTTTTTAATTCAATACTAACAACTACTTGTATTGCTTTTATTATCTAAATTGCATTTACTACATACAAGTACTGAGCAACTTTCTTTCTTATCTCAAGACATGTTCTAATGATTTATCAGTACTTTTTTTTTTTTTTTAATTACTTTGTCTATTATTAGCACTGTGTTCTCTTTGTTTACTAATATTTATTCTTGCTTTATTTTGTCTTATAATAACTTTTTGGCCTCAGTTTTCATTGCTAAAATGTTTATTCATTGTGTTTAAAACTCATTTTGAACTGTTCTACCTATTTGATACTTAGTATTTTTTGTTTAATTTTAACAAAGTATTTTTCTTTTTGTCTTTTTTGTATACTTGTCTATAGTGCCCTAAACTTTTTCTATTTAATTATTCTTTTTCTTTCTTGGTCAATTAGCTGTTATACAAAAAATAAGCTATATTTCATCATCATTCTATATACTATTCAATATATTTATTTTTTACCAAACTATATACAGTTCTATCTATATCAGAAACCTGCCAAAAGACACCATCTACTCTTATTGTTAGACCTATTTCACTTGCTCTTAGTAATACTAAATATGCCTAATTACTCTTCCAGATCTTCTTTAAACTATTTGCATTTGCTATATTTAAATCTTCTAATATTAATCTTACTAAAGTGTAGTCTTGTTTTACTTGTATTCTTGTCTTTTTTTTTTTTGATATTAAGGTAAGGCCTTGCTCATATCTTTATTAGTAGTTTAAAAATTAGTAGCTACATGAAGCTGCTATGTACAAAAAGTAATTTACTATATAAATGCTATAGCTAAAACCAATACTTGCAGTCAGAACTAAATTATTAAACTGCTAACTATATAGCTACTCTAAGTACAAATAAAAGAAAAACTATACTCAAGAATAAAAGCTCAGACATATTTATCTGTAACTTGTATTCTTGTTATTTCTCCAACCTGGTATAGTTTATTTAGTTTTTTTTGTATAAAGACCAACTAATTATTAAATACTTTTTGGTTTAATATTTTATATCTTTTTAAACCTTGATATGCAATTCTGCTATTCTTTGCAGTTGCTAACAGACCTATTTTGTTTTTAATCAATTTAATTACTGACTAATGCAGCAATTTAGACACTCTTTAGACACCTTTGTTGTCTGTAATATGTACACCAGTTTTAGTATTATATACATATTATTAATGTATATTAGCTAGCTAATAGTTAGTTTTTTGAACTGCAGGCTTCTTATAAATTGTTGTATAATATTTTTTGTCTTTTTAACAACTAATCTTTCATTTGCTTTTATACTCAACTACACTTCTAACATTTTGGTTAATAAATTGTTTTCTTTGATATATTATTAAAAGTTATTTATTAATATATATGTTTCTTTTTTTCTTATACTAGAGTTAATTATTAACAGCTTTGTCTTAGTACTATATATTAATCTAAATGTTATTAAACTTAAAGAACTTTTGTGAAATTTGCATAATTGTTTGCAGTTCTCTTTGCTTTTTGCCATCCACATTGTATTATCTGTATAAGCAACTGCAGCTTGTCTTATTCTTTTTATATTAACTCTATTTACTATATTATATGCTTCAATATTATATACTAAACTTGACTCATTTTGAATTCTTCTCAATAGTGCATTATAAAATATTCTTCAAACTAATAAAGAAATTGTTTCTTTTTGTTCAATTTTATTATTAGCAACAAACATCTTTGTAACTCCAAACTTCATTATAATGCTAACTTTTTTTCTATCATAAAGTTTTAATATAAACTTTATTGTTTTTTCTGACAACTTAATTTTTTATAATGCCAAGTGAAATAACTTTATTGACACTAAATCATATGCCTTCTTCATGTCTTGCATTAATATTTACAACTCTTTGTTCATTTCTTTTGCATTTTCTCTCATCATCTTTACTATATAAATTGTTTTTTTTATTAAGTTTTCTAGTAAGCTAGCAAAGTTTGAACCTTTGAATATTTTTTTTCTTGCTATTATTCTGGATATTCTTTTTGCTACCACCTTAGTTAAAAATTTCTTAAATGTTTCTAATAGTGCAATTGGTTTGATATTACAGAGCTTATAATACTAATTGTTTTTTTTTAGAATTAAATATATTTGTATTAGCTTCTCTTACTATATATAATATTTTTTTAAGCTTTAAATAGGCATCTGCAAATTTTTTAAAAATTTTTTGTGATCTTCTACTAGCACTTTTGATCAATCTATAATTAATATTAGACAAACTAGAAGTTATTTTGTTTTTGATTTTTCTTATTGCTTTTAGCTATTTATTAATTGATATCTTTATTTTTAAACTCTTATATTATTTTTCTTTAACTTTTTTGTTTAGTTTCTAAAATTCTTCTATTACTCTCTTATTATCTATTATCTTTTTTTGTTAACTGTTCACTAAAATGTTCTTTTATTTGCTCTAATACTGCATTTGGTTTATTATATAAAATATGACCACCTTCTTCATATTTTAACATATAGTCAATTCTGATTTTGTTGCAAGGTTTGTCTAGAATACTTGTAAGCATTTTTTCTAGTTTCTCATCAATTCTTGCACACTTTTTGTTTATTATAATATTAATTTCAACTCTTATATACTTATTTTTTTAATTTTTTCAACTATTTTTAATATTTTTTGACTAAATAACACTATTCTGCAAGATATTCTGCATTATCATATTTTATATAACTTATTTCTAGACCATGTTCTGTGTTTACTCTTTCTATTTCTATTCTAATTTAAATTTAAATTTTTCTTCTCTTATTGCTTTTTTGATTTTCTGTAGCATTTTACTAAGAGTGACAATGCTTTTATGCAGTATTGATGTTTTTTTCTTCTTTCTAATACTGTTTTTCTCTTGAGTTATCTTTTTCTTAGAGATGTTTCTATTAACTGCAGTTTTTATTGCATTGAACATTATATCTTACACTTTATCTATATTAATACTATAATCTTTTTTTTCAAATACTTTAAGTTTTTTGTTTTCTGACAATTAATTCTTAAGATCTGTTTGATAATCTTTCTAATTTTCTTTTGTTACTTTTTTATATAAATAAAGAGGACTGGTATTCATACTTCCCATGATGGCAATTTCTGATTATCACATAATCACATGATATATTCTAGCCATGATTGGTCAACTCTGTTGCACATATCATGTGATTGCATTAAATAATCATATATATTGAAATAAAGTGAATTTTAGTTTAAATTTTCAAAATTCTCAAGATCGAAAGGCAATGATGAATGGAATGTAAATACTTTAAACCTTTTGTATTATATTGTGTTGTTAGTGTTTTACTCCTCTCACTTAAGATCTAGCAAAAAACCAATTAAAAAAAACTATCAGATTCGATTTTATATATGACCTACCAATGGTTAAAATCATTACTGTTTAATGCTAATTTGTGAATTTTGTTTATTGTTAAAACTAGAAATCTACCTAATATAAAATTACAAGCTGCTTATTATTGAAATCAGAACATACTATTGAAATTGTGAAACCATTGGTAAATTTTAGATGAGTTTTATTTTTGAATGCTACGTCCATTTAAGCAAATCGCTTCAAATACAAAATAGCCAAATAGCTAATACTTTACATACCACTACTATTATCTAACAGAAATATAAATTTTATTTTAAAGCTAAGTATTATTACTTTTTTACAAAATTGGGTACATAAAGCGAATTATGACTAAATGTATTATTTTGTATTTCAATTTGGACAAGTATAAGCATTGTGACCCAATTGTTTACAAATACTACATTGTCTTGCTTTATGGCGACAAACTCAAACCCGGAAGGATCCCATCTTGTTGTGTTGGCTGGTTGTCGATTTGGAGCACCAGAAGGATGTCCCTTGGTATGAACTAAGTGGGGGTTTTGTAAAGGTACTAATGGACTATCTATTATGTCATTTAATATATTTCTGACTACCACTTGCTGATGTTCGGGCCATTCATGATATCTTTTGTTCTAGGTTTTGTAAAAGAGGCTGGAGTAAGTCTTCATTATGAGAATTATCTTCTTCAATTTGTGTTACTAGAATGTGCCCTTAAATCCACCAATGTGTATAGACATCATTGAGTGGTAGGCTCTGGTTTGCTTCAAAATTTTGAATATAATAGGCATAAGGCAAACTCATGGTTCTTGAAAAAGTCCTGGTATATGGTGGCAATGGTTCTTATGAAGTAGTTTTTTGATACTGGTCGTTTATTTTTTTGAGAGCAAAGGTTGAAACTTTGCCTCTAAGATTTGCATACAACAAATTGTTGTATGCAAAAACTGGAATATTAATGCATTCCCATTCAATCCTTGAATCAATTTCCTTTTTCTGGTTAGTTACAGCTAAAGTAATTGATGTACAAACCCAATAAAGGTCCCCAGTCGACATTTGTAAGTATGCTTTTAGAGTTGCGTAGGCGCCTTCAATGCGCAAAGTAACAATTGTTCCAAGGTGAAGGGTTCTATCTGTCCATGCTTTTACAAATCATGTCTTCTATAGTATCCACATTTCTCTGATATATGATATAACCCCGGATTTGTTAATGTAAGTGGAACAAAAATTCTTCCAATTTGTATTAAATTCATTCTCAGTTTCTGAATTAACTATATCATTCCATTTTCCAAGAAAATCATTCCACCTATTGTCTTTATCATCTTTTGGGAACTGTGACTTGCAATTTTTTAAGATATTTTTGCTTATATGCCATATATATAGAAATTTATTAAATTAGGAAAGATGGTCTCAAGAGCATTTATGAGAGCTAACTCTCGGTCAGTCATGATAACTTCGGGTTTCGATACTCCATTAAACAAGTGAGTGATGCATGTTAAGGCCCACATGTAATTATTCTTGTCTTCATCTTTTATAAAAACAAAGCAAGAGAAGAAGCTGGTATTAAGACTAGTTATATCAACAACATTCAATAGAGGCATTTTAAATATATTAGTTTTGTAAGTGCAATCTATAAGAAGCATGAATAAATATTGGCGAGTAAGAGCTACAGACTCATTATGTGCAAAAAATAGATAAGTAACTCTTCTTCGTTATTGCATTCATAATTGTACAAAAAATTTCCTTTCTGAAGCTCATTCACAAGAGCCTAAATTGGTGTACAGCCTACCAAATTCTGTTGCCAAAGCTTCTTGTGTGCATTGTAAATATCACTGTTGGTAACTAGCATTGATTCATTATTTTGACGAAGTGTTGAAATGATTTCTCAAGAATGTGAGCTAGTGCCAGTCATTGCTGCAACACTTTCTAGCTGTTGTTCTGTGAGTCTTTGGGCAATTTGATGTCCTGACATATTGCTTGAATGATCATGAGTATGGGCTAGGTTATGAATGTTTAGGTGCCATAAACCATTACATCAGGATGCATACAACTCAAATGAAAAATCAATTAGTCTGGTGCTTCTTTGCCTACTGTATGTTTCTTCAGTCAAATCTAGGGAGTTGTTATATACGCCACTACGGTCACAACGTAATTCCATGTTTTTCAATCCACTATGGCTATCTTTACGAGATCTTTTTTTTATCAACGCATAACTCTATAAGATCATGAATGCTTGGGTACTTTGAAAAAGCTCATCTGTGCTATTGTATGTGAATTGAGGCTGTAGAAGCATACTTGCTTTATCAAAAAGAAATAAAAATGAATTGTAAGACTTATAAAGGTCGCTATTTTACAGATCAATGCTATATTATGGTGTTTTAAGCTATCTGTTAAGTTTTATAACTATATACTTTTATTTTCAGTTAAAAATTCGACTACAATATTACTGCTGTTTGAAAAAAATTACAAGCTTTGCAGTTTTGTATATTACTTTATTAAGTTTTTGATTCAACGTAAAGTGTTCTAATTTTATTAATATTTTTTAGCACAAGTATAGATAAACAGGAGTTCTAATTTTAATGAATATATATATTCAAAGAGAACAATTTCGAATTGAAAATTTATTTAATATGAGTTCTTGAGGTTTATATATTTCAACTACTATTATATTTTTACATTTAAAATCATCTTTTTGCAATTACTCTAATAACAATGATCTTTCTATATTTAAAATTTTTGAATGTGATTAATTTTATAAAATGGCCATGATGCCTATAATTAGAATGCCATGATCAACGATAATACATATACGAAATCATGTTAAGCTTATGGCATTTATTTAATTAAAGCACATAAAGCTTTGGATTTTAAATTTATGATTTGGTTGTCTAATTTAACGCCAATTCAATACAAATTAACATGGCATTTAAGGCACATTTTATGCCACATTATTTGTCAAATTTATAATTTCTAACGTATCAAAAACTAGCCTTAACATGACATTCATTTAATTAGGTTTATAATGTGTAATATTCTAAGCCACATCATATGTTATTACATCAGGATGATCTATTGATGCAGCACTCACATGAATTATTTTTTTTATCTGTATAGCTAAAGCCAACATGATTAATAGCCAATATTAGCTATTATTTTTTAAGAATTGATTAGATCAGGATATCGAAAATGAAAGTAATATCAATATCATTAACTACTATATCGATAAGAAAGTCTTATAGGAAGAAGTTCTTCAGATTAGCTATTATAAATCAACAGCCCAGGTAACTTGTTTATAAGTTCTAAAGTACTTTTTAAGAAAGTGACATTTCACTAATAAAAATTTATTGCAAGCATATTGATAGCTCTAAAAAAAGCCTTTATATACTATGCAAAATAATCCCAAAACTGAAAACTTAAAAAAGATTAAGTATGCTGCCATCTATTAGGTCATATCAAATTAGACTAAGAATGAAGGTAACTAAAAATGTTTCATTCAAAAAATAAAATTTTATTACTAACAATTGAACTAAAATAAGAACAAGTTTATTGTAGGATAAGTTATAGGTTTAATGCTTAAATATGTTATGTTTTTGTATTGTGTTTGAGTCTACCAACCTAAGGAGTTCGCTTAAGATTTGTAAATTGTGTATTAATCAGTTTGGATTTAATTAGAGCTTTGATTTGGTTATTTGTTGAATATACATTTAGCAGTAAAATTTGTCAGATATCCATTAAGTATAATATGAAAACAGATGACTAGATCCAAGCTTTTTTAATAATAAATACCACTTTTACATATCTATTTTCTATATATTTGCAGCAAGTTAATTTTTTTTTAAAAAAGTCAAAATAGTAATTATTCAGAAACGTCAATTGACATAATTTATTAAGTACTTAGAAACAAATACATAAGTTCGTTTTTATTCGACTATTAACAAGTTAATACTTTTGCATATATATAATTTATAAACATTTCATTTGAAGTTTTGTATTTAAAATAACGAATACTTTAAATATTATGTAATTTTGACTTTTTTTGCAATGAGCACATGCCTTAGCACGTGAGTTGCACAAAATAATATTGACCAATCGCATATAGAATATATCACATGATCACATGATAATTAGAAATTGCTGTCATGGAAGGTACGAATACCAAATGTAGGGGGTATGAATACCAGCCCCCTAAATAAATTGTTTTTGTTAGATCTTTTTTTTTTGTATTTGCTATATTCTGTATCTTGACTAAATGCTTAAATAATACTAATGACCAAATAATATTGTAATTCTTTACAGAAACTTTATTTTTTACTAAATATAATAATTATATAATAATTATATTAATATTATATAATTATAATGTTATAAATATATAATAAAATAAATATATAATAAATATATAATAAAAATATAACAAAAATATTTTTTTTATACCTATTAAATAACTTGTAAGAAACTAATTAAAAAATATTTAATATATATTTAAAATATGTTTTAAATATAATTAATATATAATAATTATATAATTAATATATAATGAGAGTGTAGTGACTTAGTAAAGTGGTCAAGTTGTTGCACTCCAAGTAACAAGGTCTAAGGTTCAATTCCTACCGGTAATGAATATTGAAAATTAAAAATCTTGTATGCCTTAATTGATATGTTGACTTAATTAGAAATGTTGACTTATTGGCTGTAATTTGTGGTATAAAACCAAGTAAAGTTGATAACAGATCTGCAATGATCTGTGTTATGGTATCCATATTCAAAAGCAAATAAATGCAAGGAGTTTGTTCCTATTAGGAATATAGAGGAATACAAGCTGATATATATAGATATACCCCTGAATATTGTAAAATAGTTAGTGTAAACACAAGATAAAACCATATAAGGATTAGTATAAATATGCAAAATGAGAACTGCATAGTTTATTCGGTGTTATCACTATACAAACAATAAACAAAAACACATACAAACTAATCATCTTCTACAAATACATAAATGCAGCCACTGTCTTACTAAAAAATACAACTGATTGTAGTTAGTAAGAAGAATAATATATAGAGGCAAACAGTCAAGCTTCTATATATAGAAGGCCAAGATTATAACAGTTAGACCCAATGTATAGAGCAGACTTTGATACTTTGCATAGCAGTTAGAGCTAAGCATACAGTGATCGATTCTGTAGAAGACAATCTCAGAAGATCATTCACAATATCTTTAAGCCCCTATGATCTTCATACATATTTCAACAAATTTCTTCTTTATTCAACTTACCACTTTTTTCTCATAGTCAAACAATTCAATCTCTTATACAACATATTGACAAATATAATTATAATAACACCATCTCTAGTATTACTTTCTTTGTTAGCAATACTTATGATAAAACCCATATATATCTTCCAAATGACTCCCTTTTACCTAATCATACTGTTATCAATCCTTATCTTCTTTCTATTTTTTATAACCTTCCTCTTAGAACAAATCTCTCTAATTCTACTTCCATCTTACTTGATTTATTTCTAAACAGTCACACTACACCACAAGTACTCACATCTACACAAACTTTATGTGACCTTCACTTAAACATTTGCACACACAATGTTAGAAGTTATAATACAGTAACTAAAAGAAAAGCTTGGCAAAGCTATTGTCTTTACAATAATATTTATATCTCTTGTATTACTGAAACCAAAATCACCAACAGTACTAATCTTCAATTTTACAATAATAACTTATTTACCTACTTCTGGGCCAATTCAGAAAGTTTAGCAGAAGGTGCTGCCATTATGATCCAAAAACACTTACAACTACATATACACAACTGACAAATACACCCTGATGAAGCAATTGCTTTAGATCTATTTTTCAAAAATAAAATCAAACTTCGAATTATAGCTGTCTACCTTTCTTCTACTGATATGCAAAAACATAACAATACACAAAATACTGTTATTCATAGATCCAACAAGCTCTTCAACATAACCTTTATTCAATAATACTTGAAAACTTTAATACATATAATGACATCTGTAGCTCTTCATCCAAGTTCAAACTTATTAACTATTTACACCACTCCAACATGTTTGACCTTGGTGCA